CCGGTTTTTTTTTCATTCTTAAGTTTCTAGCCTATTCTTTATTTTTACAACATTTTTTTATTTTTATGCCATTCTTTTGTTTTTACCGTTTTTTTCATTCTAAAGTTATTACCCTATTCTTTGTTTTTACTCCATTCTTTTGCTCATGCAATTTTTTTGTTACCCCAATCCTGTGCTTTTTCACCATTCTCTCATTTTTACTACTGAATCATGTATTTTGTTTTACTTTTGTTTTTACACCACTGATGCCACTCTATGTCTATGTCAGTGTAATGATATTTTGTTCCAGTAATGCATTTCTCCTTAAATTTTAGCTCAAAATATCTATTTTCAACCAAAACAGCAAATACACTTTAGCTGCCATAGAGGGTGCTATAAATGTGGGTCATCAGATTAATTCATAGACCAGAATGTAATTTCTTTTATTTGCTTCCTTCTTGGCAGTTCGTACATGAGACGAAGAACTGCCCCTGACAAAGGTCAATCACCTTATCGCAGAGAGGGCAATATCAACAAATTTTCAAATCCTGCAGATGATGATGATGACGACGACAACAATACTTGGAACGGCAACTCCACGCAACAGATGTAATTACACATGCCTGGTGATGTTGCTGTAAATATTTTGTGTCTTCATTTGTGGTGCTGTCCTTCTCAATTCCTGTCTTTCTTGTCGCATTTGAAAGAAGTGACGTACAAAATTCGGCCAATCGATTGCACACGTCTTTAGTACACGTGTTACATTCTAAGCTAAATTTAAATCAAAGTTAAGACATAAGCCCAAAATACTGTAGAATACTTTATTTTCGCTTGGAATTTATTTCCGTGAAAATAAAATCCAGCGAATATACTTTTTTTCCTATATTTCACATTAAACTCATCAAAAATCAGTGAAAATAAATTCCCCACAAAACGCCCAAAAAGTCTTTTCAGCGAAAATTAATTCCAGTGAAAATAAAGTATTCCACAGTAGTCTTTATTTCTATGTATGCATATGACCTTGTCTTTCGTGACAGAAATTTTGTTACTGTAATGCTTGTAATATTTAAGTTAAAGATGACTTATTAGTTTGGTAAAATTCAGTTGAGTGTATTCAATTTTTAAATAATTCCAAGACATTGAAAGCATTGGTTATTATTATATTTTATGCAATCATTATTCCTATGTAATAATTGGCTGTTGTAATCTTCAAACATTATTTTTTAAAGAAGATGTTAGTTGTGAACTTTTCTTAAGTTGTCAAAAAAAAAAATGACACATACATCCCATCATGATTTTTGCGAATTGGGTTTGAAGTTTGCGATTCAAGAAATTATGTAGCGCTGACAATTTCACTGGATTTATTTTAGACTACGTCGTATATAGCCTAAAATTGTTTAATTTCTGGTGAGGAAAAATAATTTACAGTAAATAAATAATTATTATTATCTCTTTGTCATGTTAGTAATACATAATTGTTTGTTTGTACAGTAAGCAATATACAGTCAAACCTGTGTATAGCGACTATCCAAGGGACTTCATTAAAATGGTCCTTATATGCAGGTTGGATTACTTTTTATGGATTATCAAATCATTCATTTGACATCATATTTGTTCAGAAAATAATGAGGTGGTACTGTTGCAAACAATATACGTTTATTTGAGTTGATCAAAATCAAATAGTTTTACTTGAGGAAATTAAAAATTATTTTATAAACAGAATGTTAAATATTATTTTGGTCTCTATCGAAAGGCAAATCTGCAAAAGTAATTCTGAAAGGGTGGTCATAAAAGACAGGTGGTCTTTATACACAGGCTGCTCATATATTATGCCTTGAGACTGCCTAAAGGTGGTCGCTATAGACAGGTGGTCTTTATACACAGGTTGCTCGTACATTATGCCTTAGGACTGTCTTAAAGTGGTCACTATAGGTAGGTTGTCTTTATATAGAGGGCGCTAACACAGGTTCAACTGTAATTGAATTACCCAAGAAATATTTCAAATCACTGCTCCACAGTTTCAATGAAAACAAAGCTGGTAGTGCTAAAGTCATTCATTTCAAAATCACTCACTGTAAGTATAGAATGGATTCTTTGGATGATCGTATTTTAACAATTGTTGCATGGAAATTGGAGGCCATATTGGAACATCTCCAAAAGTTTCTCATTGAAATGCAGTACATTTTTTGTCTGTCACATTCACGCATTTATCTGGTAGATCATTTTTCGTATTTGTATCGCCCATTCATCACTCTCACATTGCATATATTAATAACATTTGTTATCGCACTACACTAAGGATTGAATAAACTGAATCAGACACGATAATTTAATTTTTTATTAAATCATTCCCTCAAAGAAATGAAATTGTAGATATGGGCGATCATAGAAGTCATCCAGCAATGTTTGTTTTTTCCCCCAGTTTAGATCACTACTGCAATGGTTAAAATATCATCAAGCAGGATGAAAGGTAATAAATTAATTGTGTATGCATTTACTTAAATTATAGAAGTATTTTTGTACTTCATATTTTAATGACCCAGGATTCAACAAGTGTGATTTTGGGTTTATTTGCCTTCTATTGGAGCAACTGCAGTATGTGACTCCCATGTGATAAATACATGGTCATATTGGGTGATACAAATGCCAACAAATTGACAGGTTATACA